AACGAACATTCGTAACGAGAGATTGTGTCGTTGCTCTTAATTTTTTGTGGCAAGCGAGCTGACGGTTAACGTGATGTTAAGTGATAACCGCCGCCTATGGACATCTGCTTGCTACACGCGAGGGTTCCAGGTTGACAACCTTTTGAAAATTGGTCTCCGGACACATCACTCACCAGACGAAACGCGAAAGTATTATACTTCCACTTTACGCCGGTCGTCTGTGAGGTCATGGTTCTTATGTTAAGTGATTCGCCGTCTATGGACAGTTGCAACACCCGTATGGTCACAGATGCCACCTTTCAGTACGGTGGGCCCCGGCTCCCCCACTCGCCAGACGAAATGCAATAAGTGTAACCCTTCCACTTCACTTCTTCTGTGAGGTCGTGGTACTTCCCCGGACGGACCCGACCATCCGTACAACAGTAAAAACTGTTGAAGACTATATATAACAGGTGGCTTGTTTTACGCGTAGCTTGGATAGCTTTTTTTTTTCTTAAAACCTTGCCCTTACTTTAGGATAACACTATCCTGTGTTGTAAGGACGTTACAAACATAAATTTCACGCGGACCAACTCCCAGATGCGAAACAACTATCTGTGGGTCACACAAATAGTTGTCCCGTGTGGCGACCGAACCCACGACCCCCGACGCAGAAGCCAATACCTTGGCAACTGCGTCTCGGCATCATCGACTCACCGTTCCACAACATATCCATAATTGTGCGTTGTTCATACATTGTTTGATTTGATTTAACTGGCTTTAAAGGCAACAAAGCTGATCAATATATTCAACGAATGTATTCTGCATACCGGATATTAATACTAGGAATTCATAACGTGTCCGTACTCTGTCAGATTATTATATTCGCAGTGCGTGCGGGCTTACCAAGCTTTTTAAAATATCTACACTGTAACTATGCACTGTGAAGTATTTAGTAATAAATATATGAAAAAGAAATTTATTCATCACTAGCTTTTCGTGCTTAAATAGTACCTACGGAACCTGACTCGAACTTGGCCGATTTTTTTAACTTTATATACCCTAACAATCACCATCATTTTACAGACCATAATATGATATATTTAACTATAGTTTCATCCAATTGAAGTGTAGCTATTATTTAGCATTTTATCGCACAAATCTTCAATGTGGTTTTTTAAGTTGATTGATACCTTTTTTTATTTATGAACCGATTTAAATAAAACTAACACTAAATGTTAAGTGAAGCTTACTACAATTCATTAGTGAAAGTTGCACACAAATCGGTTAAGCCATTTCTAAGATCACACGCACAAACGCCAGAAAAACAGACGGACAAACGTAAAGGCCCCCAATAATAGTTTATCTCAATCATCTCAATATCTTCCATGTACAGACAACCATCAGTTACATTTTTATTATATGTATAGATGACGGAGTATTAATTAACAGTTTAATCGCACCCTGAGAATGTAAATGTTTAGGCTTGTTCTTATTATGTTTGTTTATAATTACATTTTATAAGCTTCATTGAACTCCAAACCTAGGGAAATGTTAATATGCACGTATCTTCAAAAACTTATTTAAATCATTAGTGTTAAAACTTCATTGACAGACTGATTGTCTATTTAAATACAACATTAAAAACTTTTCCGATTATCCACTAACAAAATAAATGAAACAGTTGCAGATCACTGGCAACTGTTATCATAATAATATAATCTAAAGAAACTGGTTTGTCATGTCATAAATATTCTCACGATACACGTCTGAAATCAAAGTTCACGCTGTGTTCTCCCGCGTACTTCATTCATACTAGTTTGATGTGTTTATAAATCGATATTAAAAACATGTCAACATACGGTATCGACAAACGCGTGTAAATAAACTCAAGTTTAAACGTAGACCGTCCGTGTAAAATGGCCTTTAGATATTTCACACGTACAAACAACATAGTTCAAGGTGAATGACAAATTGAACCGTTAGGCTGTTTGTAATAATAATATAAGATATATCTTATACCTTTAAACTAGCAATTCTTGTATATATATATATAATCGGAATCTCGGAAACGGCTACAGCGATTTTCATGACATTTAGTATGTGCGTAGATTTGGGGGCGAAAAATCGATCTGGCTAGGTTTCATTAGAAAAAGTAGTTTTATCTCAGTTTTCAGGGAATGAAAAATATTTTTCGAACACGACGCTAAATTTCACCAAAAAAAATGTTATAATAGCTCGGTCGGTAATTGGGCGGCCCCGAAACAGAAGGCCGTGGTTCTGTCACGATCATTTACAGACTTATTTTTTTCTTTTTTTTTGATTGCTTTCATTCATTTTTATTATTTTTTGTCGATCCAGATGATTATATTTATTTCCTTTTTTTTAAAGTTCTTTCTTGTGAAAAACACCAGTTCATGATTATTATTTCGAAAAATATTATGCATATTTCCTCAAATTTGTATCTAAATGTTATTTCCAAAATACACGATTTACCAAAAAAAATAACAAACCGAGCAAAGCTCGGTCCTCCAGGTACTTATATTATATAAGGGGCCCTGATCTATACCAATATTATACATATATGGAGGTTTCTTGTTTTATTTAAGTGTAATATTTATATGCGATATTTATCAAAGACGTTTTGTTTGTACGCCATAACTTCCATAATTCTCCATAAAAATGATTCAAAAACGTTTTTAAAGCTAATATTTGCCGCTACTGACAAAAATAAATAGAATAAGAATATAGTTTTTAGTAAAAAATCTTTCGTTTAAAATTTTTTAATCAGAATGAATAATAATGCCATTTATTAAGATTTTTTTTAAATGAAGGTATAATAAGAGACCTTTCATTGATAAATTTACTATACGATACTTGATACATATGGATTACTGTTATGTGAATGATCAAAGTACTGTCGAAAAATTCGCACTGACCAAATAGTGTTATAAATAATCTTTAAAGCTACTGAACCGAATCCCGTAAAAAAGATAAAATCAGTATAAATGAAAGAAAAAACATTTTCTTGTTCAAGGTTTTTGTTTGAAACCGTCATGAAACCGTTAGATATGTATAAATAAACTATACTTTATAAACTGGTCGTCATTATTTGAAACAGTAATGAATATTTAAATATTATAGATTTTTTTAAAACGTTACCCTTACTTTAGTATAACATTATCCTGTGTTGTAAGTACGTTTTACATATATAAATTTCATGTGGAAAAACACCCAGATGCGAAACAACTCTCTGTGGGTCGCACAAATAGTTGACCCGAGTGGGAATCAAACCCACGACCCCCGACGCCGAAGCCAATACCTTGCCGACAGCGCCACGGAGTCATCGGATTAAGATGTTATGTCCTGTAACCGTACAATAGCATAATTATGTATGTATTGAGTACTAATTATGTTAATCATTTAGATATAAAAGCTGGACAAGTGCGAGTCGGGCTCGAGCACAAAGGGTTCCGTACCATTTGTTGTTGTAAGCTTAAATATTTTATATTCTGTTTTTTTTTAGTACTTTTTGTAATAGCGACAACAGAAATATGTCATTTGTGAAAACTTCAACTGTCTAGCTGTCACGGTTCACGAGATACAGCCTGTTGATGGTGACACGGACAGACTGACAGCCGAGTCTCGGGAACGACGTAATATTTATTTTATTTTTTTATTTATTTATTCTTTATTGAAAACACCTCAAAAGAGTAACAAAGGACGGACTTTAATGCCTATTGGCATTCTCTACCAGTCAACCCGGGGCGTGAGGAGAAATCGTGGTAGGTGCAATAAATAAAATTGCATAATAAATTTATGTGTCTTAAATAATAATATATGCATTACACATCATATAACTCCAGAATATAAGATATATATATATATTTATGTAACACACCTTATACAATACAAAGATATAAACATATACACATAATATATATATATATATATATATATATTAAACATACATACATATCAAGGTATATATCTAAAATATATGACCATTAGTGACTATAAGACAACATCCGCCAAACTAATTTATACAATCCTTCTTTAAGTAATAGACTCCCGTTTTACGGGTACGGAACCCTGAAAATGATTAGTATATAATAATTGTACACAATTTCATTCTGAGCGATCATAGAGATAAGCGAATACGGGTTTAGTAAACTTTAGCATTTTTTTAATGTAATTTTTATGTTTAGAAGGTGGGAAGCGAGCTGGCAGTTCACCTGTTATTAAGGGATAGCCGCCGACCATTGATATTTGCAACACCCGTAGAATTGCAAATGCATTGCCACCTTTTAATAAAGTGGGACCCGACTACCTTACTTAGAACACAACAGACAAAACGCATAATTATAACATTTCCACTTCACTCCAGTCTTTTGCGAGGTCGAGGAACTTGCCCGGATGGACCTGCCCATTCGTGCAACAGCGAAGACTGTTGCGTGGCCCTGCCACAGAAACTGGGTCGGGCGAAATTGGGATTATTCCGCGAATACGACTCATTCCCAACAACTTCCCAATTCAATTAAAGCGCACAAAATATCCTGCAGCAGCTTGCTTCGCTATGACTAAAAATGAGACTCAGGAACAAACCATAAAGACAGCTGGTGTTGACCAAAGATTTCTCTAATTTTTCCCACGGCCAATTGTACGTAGCGTGCTCACGATTCTGTAATGCGGACAATTTATACATATTAGCCGCAGAAGGCAAAACCATGAATATAAAGAGTTATTTTTAATGTACCTATATCTTTGTCCTTCTGTTTGAATGTTACGCATTCGCCCCAATCTACACAGACTTAGTCGCGGGTAGCAGTTAGTATTAAAATAAATAAAGCAATTGAAAAATTTGCACTATTTAGATTTAATTGGGGCTTCTATTGGATCAGGTAATTGAATTCTCACCATTTTAAAGGCACTGTCCATAGGCAGAGACAAACACTCACCATCACGTGGTCCACTCACTCGTAAGCCAACCTCTTTTGTGAAAAATGAAATTCCGTCCCCAGGTGCGCGGTGCCCGAGTGCGATGACGACACGGCCGTCTCGAACTTCACGATTCCTCAACACGAGGACGGGACGTACGCGAAGTGTGTTCGCTACGCCCCCTTCCCTAACGTCAGCGACTTCGTGAACGGAAGCATCGGGCGTTGCTCGCCCCACTACTTCGACACCTCGTCGGTGATCGAGTGCGAGTCCTACGTCTACTTGGAGGAGCATTCGATCGTTAAGGAGGTGAGTTTTTTCACTTGCAACCACCTAGTTGCGGTCGTCTGTGAAGTTATTGGCTGTTTTGTTTAATTCTTCAATTGTACGTGGTGATTGAATTCCATCCAATAACAAAGTGTAAGATCACAATCATCATCATTTCAGCCTATTTAAGTCCAGTGCTGAACATAGGCCTCCCCCATAGACTGCCAATATACGATAAGTGTAACATGTATAATAATAATAATAGATAGTAACAGAATATTTGCGGGAAGTCGATGGATGCAGGTGGCTCAGGATCGTGCTTCGTGGCAGTTTGTGGGGGAGGCCAATGTTCAGCAGTGGACTCAAACAGGCTGCAATGATGATGATGATGGTGACATAATATTTATACAAAAAAAATTAAAAAAATACCTTTTTATACAAATATAAATTTATTTTCTATTTACATGCATACATAAAGCATTGTGAAAAACTTAATTTTAAACCATTTTCCGTCCTCAAATTATTTATCTTTACCCAAATAAACAAGTCATTGTTACCAACATTAACAATGTTAACTCTACAAATAAAATCAGCATCGAATTAAATTCAGCAAATGGAAATTCAACTCCTTCATTAAAAACAATGAACAAGAGCGTACTCTTAATTAATGCCATAAATTGATTTCAGTGAATAGTTCCAATTGTTAGTGTTTCCTAAAAAAACTTTGTTTGTCCATACCTTTACCATAATTATTAAGCTTTCAATTTGTACATAAACAGTGCCTTTTGAGTGTGATGGCATTAAGGTTGCAGACTCCAATCCAAGGGGATTAAAATACTTTTGTGTTTCTAATGCGTAAAACTGACTAACATTTGTTTGTGCGTGTACTACCATATGCTTAGTATCTGTCAAGATTTATGGACTTAGTAAGCATGGATAATATTATATTCTTATGTTAACGTGAATGCCATACATTTTTGCGAAACTATTTTTTTTTATTTTGGAACCCTTTGCAACATTTATGGTCGCAGAACAGACTCAGGCGCTAACGCCTGACTGACGCTAAGGTTAACGTCTAAACGTCAATTCAATAAACTATTAACTCCGGATTGTATAATAACTTAATAAATGATATTTTCCAGATAAAGTTCGCCAGCTTTCGAATTCCGAACTTACAATCTCTTCCCTATATCTAGGTGGGGTCGACATAACCTTAATTATATTTTTAATTTTATTGTTTATTAACGACCCTCCTTAAGAATGAACACCCAGATCCGGTACAATTATCTGTGGGTCTCACTTCGCCCATAAGAATCGAACCCATGACTTCAGGTGCCGAAGCCAATAGCTCAACAACTACGCCACCGAGTCATCTATCTCTTTTAACAATTCGAGTTCAATATCATCATCAATTTTCAATGTTAAACAAATAGGTATGTCCCTCGCAATTGAGTCAACGCATTTGTTCAGGCTCGAATTTTAGACGGGGGATTTTAATGAAGCTATTACTTTGATAAGGTCACACGCATTACTGCAGCAATTTCTTCCTTCAAGCTGTACGCTCACTTGACCGCACTAATAGCGCAAAATGTGGACACCGGCGTTTCTGTGTACGGACAATTAACTGCTTTTGTGTTGCCAACTTTGTCGCGATACAAAACGCTGGTGGATTTGCTCAGCGCGAATACCGAACGATCGACGAATGCGACAAGATTAAACATTTACCCGCTTTGATGAGTTTCTCTAAGGAATTATAAATTTTAATTCGGTCCCTGTGAACGCTTTCCGACGCCGTTGAAAGACGGTGTGTCATTCTTTCGAAGTGCCCGCGATAATTGCCGCTTTCTGAGAATAAAACAGGCTTCTTCGTCTGGCTCTGCGCGGGTAGAGCAAACAGCTTATTCTGCTTCTGTTTCTCCAAGAGGCCAGTTTAACCGCGACTACACCACGGCCACATTGTGTTGCCTATTTATACATAATAGTTGGCAACACGAATGTAACGTCTCTGTTGTTAATATTATAATATTGTAATAATATTGTCCATATTAACCAGAGACAATTGAGCTGTGCAATAGTCAGCAATTAAGAATCTGAATATTTTAAGAATTTCAGTTTAATCCATACAAATAAAAGTATAGTAATATACAGAGTGTATTAGGCCACTGTACATAGTGTATTAGTCCACCACGCAACCCCAATGCGGACTGACAGACTTCACGAATCTTCAAAACATGTTTTATTATTATTTCCTAACATGTTTCCTCACGATGTTTTCCTTTACCGCTGACCGTGGATAAGACAGTACTTAAAATTGCAATTAACAATTCCATTGGAGCCAGCGCCGGGATTTGAACTCGGGATTCTCGAGTACACGAAGCTCAAATCGAGTGTCCGGACAGAGTGGTAGGGATGCGCAACAATCCTCGCTGTTGCACAAATGGGTAGGTCCGTCCGGGTAAGTGTCACGATCTCCAACTAGATCGGTGTGAAGTAGAAGTCCGTCTTTTACGTTTAATCTGGTGAGTAAGGTAGCCGGTGCCTACTTTTTTAAAGGGCGGCAACGGGTCTGCAACCCTACGGGTGTTGCAAGTAAATGAGCGGCGGTTATCTCTTAATTTGATGCGATAATGTAGCTTGCTTTCCCCTTCTGACATGAAAAATGAATTATATCGTGATATTTTAATAATTTTTTTTATAAATTTTTACTACAAATTTTTTGTTTGCGTCATCAACCATAGCGTTATACGGTTGCCTTGAATAGATTATGTTTAAACGGCTTCGCGATTGAAGCGAAACCGCTAATCGTGAACAAAACCTAACCACAATCCCATTATCTATTTCTGGTGTAATGCTACTTTAGCATACGAATTATTTGAATTGTGTCATTTGTTTTATTACTTATATTTAAGGATTTGTATTAGCCATTAATGACAGGTTTTATTATAAATATTAATCGTCTTCGATTTAGTTGGAGAGGCATCTGCTACCACGCAGATGTTGAGGAGGTCCATGAGTTGTAGTAATAGCTTAATTGAAAGTCTATTCAAACACCACCTAATTTAAGCAGACTCGCATATTAAACAATCTTTTCTTTCATTTGTCAAATTAAAAGACAATTTATTTCAACTGTTCTTGTTCTTGATTTAAGGCCGGTTTCAATATTCTATCCATCTGTAGTTTTGATTAGTTTGGGTATTTGACATAATTATTTCGATCACAAATGGATTGCCGACGATGCCTCTTACGACCTTTTAATCAAAATACGTAGTTCAAGTTATATAAAATTTTTAGGAATTTTGTAGACTATCCAAACTGGTCGACAACATTTCAATAATTTCGGTACGAATGAGACGGAAACGAGTGCTTTTTAACGAAACTAAAACAACTTGACAGAAATTCACGTAACGAGGCGACAGTAACATGCGAAATGAATGATTAAATTAGGTCAGTGACTCAGTCGATTGGAGAGAATCCCATTGATGCTAGAGTTGAAAGAGGATTTATCAGCTCCATTGTTTACACCGATATTATCTAACTTTGGCTCTTTGTGATCAGGAGTTATTTAGAGATATCACTCAATATTCATTTCATGCTTATTTTCAAATCAAAAGCTGCCAACCTAAAAGTAAAAAATGGCCAACAGCTCGTTCACCTGATGTCAAGTGATTACCGTTGCGAACTTTAAAAGGGGGCGAACTCCAGTTACGAGAGAGGAGACAGCAATATAAATATATCTACTTTACGATGTCTGTCTTCTTTGAAACTGTGGTACTTTCATAGATGACCTGGCCATCCCTTTTTTTCATCTGGGATGAAAGAATGGAAGCTGCTCCATCGACTATAACGAAAGGAAGCTATCTCATACATATCAATAGATATCTCATACACATCAGAGCGAAAATCGTGCTAATTTGTGTGTAGTAAAGAGTGTTTCATATCTTTCAATTGCGTAATTGGAAACTTCTTAAGCCCGGTGTTATTTATGAGTAAATCTTCTTTACGTGTCGATGACAAATCATATCATTTCAGCCCAAAACTTAGCCACTTCGACAGCACAATTTGTGGCATCCATCAGATCCAGATGCGAACGGGATATATGAGAACATAAAGATTTATGAGTAAATGTTTGTATCCGATAGTGCAAAGTGCATGCAGGGGCCAGTCTCAAGTATCAGGTATTATAACTTGAAGAATGCAAAGTTACGTCCATTTTCATAGCTTCAATTGCAATAATCGTACATGGCAAAGATTCTATGGAAATGTAGTTTTCCCAAGGTGCAACAATTCAAACGATTTGAATGAAATTAAGCACGCCTACAGAATATGGCGGAATGAAGACACATATTTGCGTCTTTATATATTGTAAAATGTAATCATTTTATTTTTATAAGAACACGATGAAGAGATAGATATTGAGATGTGCGCTTACAGACTTACAAAGAACTAAAACAAAATCAAAAGATAAATATTTTGTAAGCGCTCATAATCTCTCTTTTTCAGCAAAGACAGTTGCATCATGCCTGCATCAGAAACTGCTTTCCTAACCGGTGATAACTTATTTACGAACGTATTAATTTTTATGTACAATGTTGACGTATCATAAGAACGCGCAAGCGTCTATGTGAATAAATATATTTTTGATTTTGAATTACGTGTAAAGAAAGAAATATGGTTGTCTTAATAATGTGTAATTCCTCAGTCATTCTCGAGATTTTGTGGGACCTCGTGTAGGGCTAACCCTGTGTCCTTCTTCACGCTTTGCATACTGACCCCAAGCTAAGCCTGTTTTATTGCTTGTTACTTATGGTCACCGTGTTCTTCATTACGTTCACAACATTAAGGCATTTGACTTATAATCTTCCTCTTTTCCCCGTATAAATTAAAAACGATATTCAACTTATGTTGTAATACCCAATGTATATTATAACTGATATCCTGTTGATAATTTTCAGCAAATTTTGTCATAATTCAAGGAGGTAGACCGGAGAATAACTAACGTAATCCCAGTTTCGGTGACCTTTATTTAGATTTCAAAACGTAACCGATAAGCCAACTGCAATACTAAAATGTGAGTCATTGAAATTTACCATTAGATATATTTTAAATTTTAATACTATTGCAAATACTTTTAATGTACAGAACGCCTATCGCCGTGTTCTCGTAGAAGTCATCTGATGGTCATATAAATGTGTAAAAGTTACAAAATGTACTATTCCATTTTCGCAGATTACTAAAAAAGGCGATTCGATAATCGAAACCTAAGTAATAATCCCCCGAATCGGCCACGGCGTACCCGGCCGAATCGCGTATACAGCACATTACCGAGCACAACGGAAACGCTGAGTCGCCGTAGCGCCGGAGCGTTGGGCTGAATGCAACGACCATTGTACGCGGATCCGGTCCCTCTTAAGCCCAACAAAGAGTCCCAATCGATTCCGCCCTCAATACACAGCTGAATGCGAAGCGCCCAAGCTAGTTCATCATTAACAATGGCGCTCATACGAAAAATTTAATAACGAACGCCCAACCGAAATCGGAACCGAAATGCAATCGAATGTAAATAATGGCCGCTCTATTCGGAAATTTTCTGGAAGTGTTTGTGCGGCTGAAATCGTTTGACACAATCGCTGGCACATTAGAAGCTTTCTACATCATTGTCAGGGTGAAAAAATTGACACTTATCAAAAATTAAAACGAGTTCACTTTTCTATTACATATATCAGAGCAGTCTGTTTGATATTTCTTATTAAAGTACACGTTATATTACTTAACCAAATATAAGAAATTGGCCCAAACCTGCAACCTTAAAATTGCATGTGTGACTTCTAGCTAAATCTACCACAGTCTTCAACAGTAGCTTAAAGTCATTTATTATTTAAATATATTTTTATACTTGAAAATAAAATAAAAATGAACACTCGGTGCATTGTTTCGAGCATTTTGTCGCCGTTGTTTTAAAATCGAAGGGTTGTTTCATAATATTCATTAACCACATAACCTCAAGAATACAACGTTGTATAGTCGAAGATTGCATAATGAAATTGACTCGTCGGCTCTTCTCTTTGGCTAACTTCCACCACTGGATATATAGGAAACATATATTTCTAAACGGACATTGCTTTCCTCCAATCCCTCGCATAGTTTTTACTGAATTACTTTCGAAATGAACGTGTGATGTAACAAAACAAATCCAAACAATATGTTCACGGTCCATTCATTGCGCCAAACAGCCTAGGCAGCGTCCATAATTGATTGTCAATGCCACCTACTGGTCAATGCATGAGTCGACCATGACGCACAAACGATTTTTCACTCGCAGCTAACGGTGCGCTCAACGTGTTATGTTATTACTAATTCCTATTTGTATTTTTACCGTATCTATATATGAATTAAATTAGAAATTCATTAAAAACTAATAAAATATTTAAAAAATAAATTATTTTAACCCTATATTTATATATATAGTGTTAGCCAATGCTTTCCTCATTTAGTCCGGAACCTGCAAATTTTACGTAGACGATTTCATTTCGTTTTTATATATGATATTTGCAATCTCACCTAGTTCTGAAACGATTTTGGCCTATAAAATTAATAATTAAATATTACTATAATGTATAAATTGGTAGGACCTAATAAATCCAGTTGAATAAAATTATTACATTTATTACATTTTCTAATAACAATAAATATTTCATAGAGCACGCCAAAAGAAGCGTTATTTAAAAATATCTAAAATCTTTCTACATTCTTTCACAAAAACTTAACTCAACCTTTATAAACTTTACCCTTTTAGACAATTTATCATGTAAAGTGAGATTTATAAAACGGATTGGACCCATATCAAGCGGTACTTATATAATTAAAGGATCATTGACGTTAACATACAAAGCTTTTGATGTCTACACCTTTGTACCGTTTATGAATATTAACGCAATATATCCTGTTTGAATGTTCGAAGTTGTAACAACTTTATAGTAAATTGTTAAGACAACTTTGTCCACTTCTTTGTTCTTGGCTCCCATAGGGTACACATGGATAAGAAATTAAATCTTATCACTATGCTTATAAATGTCATTACTAAAAAAACTCATTACTTCCGAATACGAAGTTGCATCATTGGATTGCGCGTTGTCATTTTTATTAGTAGATCGTAACCTCAAATGTTCAGTGCTTGGTTTTTGTTTACACTCGCACGGTACATTTGTGAATTGCGTTTGTGAAATATTTATTTCTTTTACGGTGGAGCCTCGTCGTTCCACATGCTAATGCTCCAAAGGTAGTAGAGTATACATACATGTTACATATACATTTATTCGAAGTTATTTCCCATTACATGACAATTAGTAAGTTGTACTCTACGACTATTTTTAGAAATAACCGGCCAAGTGCGAGTCGGACTCGCGCACGAAGCATTCCGTACCGTTATCTATAAAACGGCAAAAAAAATCTTGTCTGTTGTATGGGAGCCTCATTTAAATATTTTTATTCCGTTTTTTTGTATTTCTTGTTATGGCCGAAACCGAAATACATCACCTGTGAAAATTTCGTAATTTCAAATTGTAACTATCCCGGTTCATGGGATACAGTCTGGTGACAGACGGACAGGCAGACAGACAGACAGCGGAGTCTTGTTAATTGGATCTGGTTTTACCCTTTGGGTACGAAACCCTAAAAAAGCATGACATTTCAGGCCCAGTCTTGAAACAACGAACAAAATCACATTTATTAAAATTTAAACTTACTATACAGATTACCTGTCTTTATTATATTTAATTATTCTTATTATATTATAAGGTTTCTAAATAGTTTCTGAACGAAAATACTTTCAAAATATTCAATTATATATTAAAATTCACAAATAAATTGCCAAAAGTTTGGATTTGAAATGTAAATTGAAAATACTTATTTAAAATTCTAACGTTTATCAGTTTGTATGCGCAGAACCCGTTCGTTTCGTATTCTAATGCCAAAGTGCTTGGCGACGCCTAACGCTGTCGGCAATAACCAAATAATGTTTATTTTGGCGCGTGTTCAACTCTTACGTTTCTCTTTATAAATTTTACAGAAGTAAGATTTTACGTTCGCCGTAACGCCTTAAGGTCGACGCTACACTCGTGCTTTTTTTAGTTACAAATTTGAAAATTATGCGCATATCGAAGAAACAATACAACCATTTGAGTCACAAAAACGTTATTGTATGTTTCACCATTCCAATCCACTTCAATTTAACCTTACTATTAATCCGTCCATCCACCCTACAGTTAAACATCTATCGGTAGGACATTTACTTGAAAAACTGTGTTTTCCTAAAATGTATCGCCATAGCAGTACGTTGAGAGTATTTCGAATTGAAAGGGAGTTTCAGGTACGGCAACTCAGATTCGGAACTATTCCATTTAGCTCATTCAAATATTACTTCCAATCCACGAGTCGCGACACTGACGCCTAACTATATTACTGGGTCAACCGAACCGCCAAATCATGCTATGGTTGACACTCTACACGCGAACTTACTGTGGTAATGCCACGCATTAAATTCTACTGTTGAATTGCACGAATAGGCTCTTATAAGAGGCTTCCTTGAAGTATTAATTTCTCCCATTTCGTCTGGTGGGTGGGGTAACCGGGGTCCATCTTTTTAAAGGTTATTGCTCATGGTTCATCAGGCATTGTCAATGCCCATGAGGGTAGATGCTGTGGTAGGACCACGCAACAGTGTTCACTGTTGCACTAATGGGCAGGTCCGTCCGGGTAGGTACCAAGACCTCACAGAAGACCGGCGTAATGTAGAAGTGTTACACTTCTGCGATTCGTCTGCTTAATTAGGTAGCCGAGGCCCACTTAATTTATAGGTGGAAACGCATTTGCAACCCTAATATCGGGTGAACCCGCTCGCTTGGCAACTCAATGCATAAAAACTATGTACTAAAAAATAGTCACAGCTATGCTTGTAACCGTCTCTACCATGCACCCGTTTCGACCGCTCCACAGTTCAACCTCGCGTGCCAGGATTGGAAGCGGTCTCTGGTCGGCACCGTCCACAACGCTGGCTTCTTCGTCTCGATCCCCCTCACCGGGCTGCTGTCCGACAAGTTCGGGCGACGCGTAGCGCTAGTCTTTGCCTGCGTAGCGAGCGGCCTCTTCGGTGCAGCTAGAGCTCTGTCTACGAGCTACGACATGTTCATCGTACTGGAGTTCCTAGAGCCAGCGCTTGGTGGCGGAGTCTACACCGCGTGCTTTGTCCTGGGTGAGGGCTTAGTAGTTTTACCTTTTATATTCAAATTTTAACTCTATCCTGTCCCTCTGTCTTCTACTAACTCGATGTTAACATATAGGTAGTACCTTTAGAAATGGTAATTGCTTACAATTAATTAACCATGGAATTATTGGTAAGTGGTGTACTTGTCACGGTGAGTATCAAACCTGTGACCTAAGTTGTGTCTAGCCTATAGCATATTAGAATAGCCAAGCAATTTCAGAGTAAGTTTAATAGTTTTTCTATGAAGTTTTTTTTTTTATGTACAAAGTTGCTAAACGGGCTGACGGTTTACCTGATGGTAAGTGAATACCGCCGCCCATGGACATCTGCTACACCCGAGGGTTACAAATGCGTTGATAACCTTTTGAAAATTGGGCTCCGGCTTCCTCACTCACCAGACGAAACGCGAAAGTAGTTGTCATACTTCCACTTTACGCTGGTCTTCTGTGAGGTTGTGGTACTTACCCGGACGGGCCTGCCCATTCGTGCAACAGCCGAGGCTGCTGCGTGGCCCTACCATTGTAAGTTGAATAATATTGACAATTTATGCATTCTAAAATTTATAAAGTGACTAGCTGACCTGGGAAACGGTATTTGCCATATAAATTATTTATCGGGTAGAAAAAAATATTTGGGGTGGACTACCCTTAAAATTTAGGGGGATGAAAAATAGATGTTGTCCGATTCTCCGCCGATATGCACACAAAATTTCATGAAAATCGGTCGAGCCTTTTCGGAGGAGTTCAATTACAAATACCGTGACACGAGAATTTTATATATTAGATTGCGTGTTTCTAATACATTTCACTGTATAACAAACAGTCGAAAACAGATCACGAAACCTTATTTTTTAGGGCACAAAAGTTGGCTCATACCAAAATATATCCAATATCAGAATTACCATCCGTGCCATAGAATTATTAACGGTAATCGGATACATGTATACTTCATTTAACAACCTAAAGGCCAAACTGAGCTAGTGGTCGGGATCAACTTATATCGAATATGAATTCTAATATCGTGCAACAATAAGTTTAATCTTTTAACTTAGAAATGCAAAAATTTTCAGATCATAAGACCTTTGAATTGAGCCTGCCAATATTTGTGTCTGATTTGCTCCGGTTAAACAATTAAGATTTTGGGCTCTGGGTAAGTACCACGACCTCACAGAAGACCGGCGTAAAGTAGATGTGTTACACTTCTGCGTTTCGTCTGGTGAGTGAGGTAGCCGGCCCCGATTTATTTAAAGGTGGCAACGCATTTGCAACCCTACGGGTGTTGCCAATTTCAATGGGTGGCGGATAAGCGGTACACCTATAAATAAATGAAGGTGTACCGCCATCTCGTTTGCCACTTTTTCATATAAAAACTTGACTGCCATCCCACCTGGTGGTAAGTGGCGATGCAGCCATTGATGGCAAACGCGCTAGCTCAGTAAAACATAGTGTAACAGAAGTTATATGCACCCGGAAAATGACTCCGACTTGCGCATTGTATTTCCTACGGTCTCAATGTTGCTTTTAATAACATATGATATACGCACGGAAGGCCGACAAAGTTCCTTAGTAACATAGAATACGAGCTTGCATTGTGTTAGAATATTTATATGGACAACATTATGAGGCACTTTAACCTCACTGCTCGATAAGAAACGCCAGTACCAAGTGGCTGCTGCGTGCAATATTAGCTCTGCATTGTATTTATTACCTTTGTCTTTCAATTGTAAACAAACAGTCATAAATAAATCTATCTCGTAATATATATTCAACATAGCTACAAATTTAGCAATTTTGCTGTCCGAATAGAACTAAATTATTAATTATTAATGCAATTTCTTCATTTCTTGATGTAAGAAATATTTAATAATATTACCCCAGAAAACAACAAAACGATTTGCAGACACTGTTTTTAGATGATAATTAACAAAAAAAACATATCCCATAACCTTTTTCGTTTTTAACTTTTTTGTATTTGTTTTTATTATATTTATTCTTTAGCGATTGTAAACACTCATTCAATAAACTTTTTGTATCAATAAAAATATCCAGAATACAGTGGATTATATGAGGAAAGAATAAAATCCTACATTCTTTACGATATTCCATATTTAATATAAAACAGAGGAAAAGTAAATTATTGGTCGAAAAGTGTGTGCTATTAAAATATCCAATCAAAAATATTATATCGGCGGTAGGGCCACGCAGTAGCCTCAGCTGTTGCAAGAATGGGCAGGCTCGTCCGAGTAAGTACCACGACCTCACAGAAGACCGGCGTAAAGTGGAAGTATAATACTTTCGCGTTTCGTCTGGTGAGTGAGGTAGTCGGAGCCCAATTTTCAAAAGGTTGTCAACGCATCTGCAACCCTTGGGTGTAGCAGATGTCCATGGACGGCGGTAATCACTTAACATAAGGTAATTCGTCTGCTCGCTTGGCAATTTTTCACATACAAAAAATCCTAAATAACAAACAAATCGATAATTATATTGAAACGTCAAAAAATTAATCACAATATTGATTTCGGTTTTGAATCTGAGAAGCGTGACTCAAAGCTCAATACGCCAATCACTGGTCCACGAGGCCATCAAACAACAAACGTGTATTCGATTCATAAGTTTATTCGATTCATTCGCCAAGGTCGGTGTTTACGGAAGACATGTGATTATTTGTGAGGTATTGGATGGAGGAACGAACACTTCCTGACGCATTGATAGATCGTACGAATAACTCTGAAAGATTTAATGTACCTTTATAATGACTGTTACAAAGGTTGAAGCAGATATTGTATGTTGCTTCCGATACCTGTCTATTTTAATTGGACGGTTAGGTTTTTTTAGCCAGCTAAAACTATTATTAAAAATTGTATCCGTATAGTATTGCATCATCTCATCAGTCTAAAATACATATTAACAGTACACAAACAATACATATAAACACTACACAAACAAGGACAGATATGGACAAAATAAAAAAAAATCTCAAAATATCCCGCTAGGGTTAGGCGTCTTTTATTTTTTTATTGTTATCTATACACATAAATAAAAAAGTAAAGCAACAGCCTATACATATCCCACTGCTGGGTAAAGGCCTCCTCTGTACAGAGGAAGGTCGAAAATAGAATGAAACAATAAGATGGTGTATTCGCGTAAATATACAAGATCATTTAATTTCACTGTTTATCTGGAAGTGAACTTTCATAAAAAAAAAGAACAAATAACCGATACGCTTCAGTTACTACCGTTACTCTGTTCGGTGTTGACTTTTTTTCGCCAACACTTCCAAACGTCGTGAATCGTTTGAAATTATACCAAGTTCACAGTAAAAACAGGCTCGTTAAAATACATTACTTTTTCTAAATTTAGCGCTGACAATGTATCAATGAAAAGATAGCAGTCAGCTCCATTATTATGTTCCCAGTTCTTTTTCTGTTCGGATAAGAAATAAAAATAAGAAATCTATAAAATTAAAACATGTAGAAAAAGTACGAAAAGATTGTCACCGCTGTGGGAATCGAACCCACGTCTTTGGCATTCGCGGCCTGACGCTCTAGCTACTGAGCTAAACGGCTGATAGCCACAGCGACGAAAATCTTAACGCCTTCTTTCTACATTGTTATTTAGCATTTGAAGCAATGCTTGGCGCATCTATTAGATTTTCGTCGCTGTGGCTATCAGCCGTTTAGCTCAGTGGCTAGAGCGTCAGGCCGCGAATGCCGAAGACGTGGGTTCGATTCCCACAGCGGCGATCTTTTCGTACTTTTTCTACTGTTTTAATGTTCAATCTTAAGTGCAGAGATTAGCACTATAAAAAACTTTAAAATTTATAAAAAGAATGGCCACATCTCTCGTTCGAAACGTTGTAATACGCGAAATTGTTTGTATGCTGGAAAGGATATAACAATAGATGCGCCAAGCATTGCTTCAAATGCTAAATAACAATGTAGAAAGAAGGCGTTAAGATTTTCGTCGCTGTGGCTATCAGCCGTTTAGCTCAGTGGCTAGAGCGTCAGGCCGCGAATGCCGAAGACGTGGTTCGATTCCCACAGCGGCGACAATCTTTTTTTCGTACTTTTTCTACATGTTTTAATGTTCAATCTTAAGTGCAGAGATTAGCACTATAAAAAACTTTAAAATCTATAAAATGACAGAAATCAAAGTAGATGTTATTATCAGCTGAGACAAATGAACCATTTTAAACTATATCTTTATTTTTAACTCTGCAAACTGTAGCAGTGACTGATAGGCACATGAAGGCTGCTACCTATTTGATACAGTACCTATTATTACTATATTGTCAATTAATTGCTTTTAAATGGACTAAATTTATGAGAAATCGCCACATACAATTCCCGATCTTCCGAAAGCCAATACGTGGCAGATGAAAATCTATTTTGCAGTACGCAGTAGTTGACCAAGTTGTAATGAGAATTTTTATAATGGAAAATCATAAGGTCCAAAAAAAACTGGCCAAGTGCGAGTCGGACACGCGCCGGAAGGTTTCCGTATCATTATCCATAAAAACGACAAAAAATATTTCTATTGTATCAAAGCCCTACTTAAATATAATTTTTATTCTGTTTTTTAGTATTTGTTTTTATAGTCTATGAAAATTTCAACCGTTTATCGCGGTTCATGAGATACAGCCTAGTGAAAGACGGACAGACAGACAGACAGCGAAATTTGTGTTTTACCCTTCGGGTACGGAACCCTAAAAATGAGAGAAGGTTCTTTATTCTGTTATATATTTTGTTGGTTGGTACCTCAAAAAACAACCATTTATGAATCGATTTAAAAAATTCTTTCTTCTGGAAATTTGGTAGCATGTGCGACTGTGATATCATTTGTCTTAAATAAGAATTATGAAAAAAAAGCAGACAATTTTTCTGACTTTCCTGATGTCGTAAGTTACATAATTTTTTTTTTAATAAATTTAAAATTTTTCATAACATAACTTTAGTTATAACGATAATGGTCTCATAAACTCCTATGTTATAAATACTTGTCGTATTCAGGATTCAAAGCCAAAAAACACGATCAAACGCGTATCGCTTAGCGACTGCGCGAAGGGGGCTACCGAGGCCATAACTCAGAAATTACCAGGCGACTCCAAAATAATTCACAGTGGACAGCATCCAGGAGTCCTTCACCGTTCACGCCTCATCAGCTGCTTGTGACTAATTACGCTTTTTGTAGATCGCGTTTCCGGTAGCACTTATTTTCGATGTTCCTAACCTAAATATTATGACGATTCAACGGGCGGGAGTTTTTTTTCGATCGAGCGAAGTAGCGTCAGAAGAATCATTTTAATCTGTCGTTTAATTCGCTGTTCTGTGATTAGGTTAATTTAGTTACTAGCGATAGCTATTTGACGTTGGCTCATTATTACTAACGTCAAAATTCTATCTATCTCCAAACCAAACCTATATGTAGATAAAATATTGAAACGAGTCCTAAATCGATCTTCGTACTTCTTCAAAGGCAGTGAAACCTAGCCATTTCATCTGATAGTTCAATAATTATTTCTGCTGGTGCGTAAAGACATCTCAAACTTGTCTATAATGTGATATTGTTGAAACAAAAAAATAAAGAAACTTAAACTTAAGAATTAAGAAAACAACATCTAAGCTATCGGCTTTAGTGTTACGTGTGAAATATTAGTACTTACAAAATAACATTAAATCATCATCAACTTTCAACGCGGTATAAAAAATCGTCCGCGTAACCAAACTGCAAAGGCGTACACATTTTTGTAGAGCTGCCTCAGGATAGAGACATAGAGCAATGTAGAGACCTTCAGCCGGATTGTAACTTCGTTTATATCCACCACCAGTACCCTAACTCCTGATAGCGCCAACATTTACGCCGTATTCCGGACCTCGCTGCGCACTACGTTATAAAGTTACCGTTCACCTTACACCGTTTTTGCAACTTCCTCGCAGATTTATTTCGTACAAGTTCCCACTCAGCCGTGAAAGTTGGCGTTACGCTCGCGTCCACAGCATTATTTGGCGTCTATTTATGTTTGTTGAGAACTTCACCGCACAAACGTGTTGGTAGTAAGTACTTTATTTAATAATACTGCTCCGTTATTCCAATACTCGGTATTTTGTAACAGCAGTGCTCCTTCTCTTATGTAATATTGGCAATACTTAAGTACAATATTAATTTTTTTCATTGTCTCTTACGCCCAGTATCAAAAGAGCGTTTTACGTTATTGCAATGGAAAATTCTGATAAGGTAGTTTTTAGAATACAAAATGTTAACCTTACCTGACTCTAAAGCTGGAGTATATTAAAAAACATACATTAAATCCATTGAAAATTTCATTAATAATGGTTATACAATGCATAAATCGTTACCAAATCCTCTTCACTGAATACAAATTACATAGAGATATAATCGAAGTATAATACTTCCGCGTTTCGTCTGGTGTGTGAGGAGGCCGGAGCCCAATTTTCAAAAAGGTTGTCAACGCATCTGCAACCCTCAGGTTAACAGATGTCCATGGGCGGCGGTATTCACTTAACATCAGGTGAACCGTCTGCTCGTTTGTCAATTTCTCACATAAAAAAAAGCTTTTATTAACTATACATGCTATTGCTATTATAACTATATATACTTTTATAATAATACTAGCTGCTGCCCGCGACTACGTCTGCGTAGAGGGGTGAAAATTTAGGGTTGTATGTATTTTTGTATGCTGTGTCATAAAAAATAGAAACAAAAAGTTTAAAAAATAAAAAAAAAATTAGGGGTGGACTACCCCCTTAACATTTAGGGGGACGAAAAATAGATAGTAGCCGATTCTCAGACCTACTGAATATGCATATAAAATTTGGTAAAAATCGGTCGAGCCGTTTCGGAGGAGTTCAAGTTTGACACGAGAATTTTATATATTAGATATGAGGTTGCGTCTTTTTTTGCCCTGATTATAAGGCTCGAAATACTAAACTAATCTGAATCATCATAGATCCTAATAATATGGATAAGTCAAGTGCTTGTAGGCTAAACTATTGAATTAACCTAGTTCTTCATCATTACAGCGTTAGAATTGGTGGGCCCGAAGGGGCGCGTGTTCATCAGTCTTCTGTTCAACACAATGTTCATCCTCGGCGGCGTCACCGTAACGCTTCTCTTCTGGTGGCTGCAGAACTGGAGGCATCTCCTTCTCATCATCTACACGCCGGCCATCTTCGTTTTCGTCTACATTTGGATGTTAACGGAAAGTTTCCGGTGGTACTTCAGCAAGGGCCGCTACGAGGAAGGTCTGAAAGTGCTCGCCAGGTCGGAGAAGATGAACAACGTGACAGTCCCCAAAGAGCACTACGACCAAGTGGAAAAGCACGCGATGAGGCAGCGAGACGCGAAGAAATCTGAGAACAGGGAGACCAACCGCTCGTCTTTCAAACAGATCCTGGCCTCGGCGATGATCTGGAAGAGGGTCTTCATCTGCTCCTTCCTGTGGACTTCCTCTACGCTAGTCTACTACGGTCTATCGATAAACGCCATTGAGCTCTCCGGCAATAGTTATCTTAACTATATCGTTGTGATAATCATAGAAGCGCCTGCAAACGTCTGCAAACTAATCTTCCTTGACCGATTCGGCAGAAAAAGAGTCATTGCGGTCGCCTTCATTTTAACCGGACTAATTTTGATCAACTATGGATTCCTTCCTGGTGAGTATTGTGTCATGTAAAATTATCTTTTTTTTTTTGCTATTGATTGAAACAAGCAAATATTTAACTTCATACTGAGGCGAATAGAACAACAGAAAAATTACGTAAATGAAAAATATTTCGACAAATATTTTTAAATAAAAATACATGAACATTTCCCATTTTCCTTTTACTGTAATGAACATAAATACAGCCATACCTTCTCACGTATTTTATGCATTTTTCAATCCTGTTTTCGTTGTTGGTGCGTCGAAATAGATTGCAAATAATTTATAAGGGCGAACCGCAAAGGATTTTTTGCAATCAAAATAAATATAACAATGTTCGTAAAACCTACTCAGCCAAGAACTTTATATGTAAACATTTTACAGATTTTATATTATATTAAAGCCATAATTACTTTAATAAAAATATTTATTGAGGAATCAAAATAACAAAACCATTTACAAAATAAAACCAATTATCACATTTAATAAAGTAGCACAATTTACATGATTTACAGCATTGATAGGTTACTCCAATTTATTTATTAACTTCCATTGTGAAAAGTTGATTCAGTGGTTTTTGAGTTCTGCTCAATGATTTCTAGAAGGATAGGAATATTATTTTACTATAACATGGCCTACAAAATGAACCAGATTTATTATTAAATATAAAATAAAATTTCGGAACAAATTTGGGATCATTACAGATTCTTCTACGGTTGAGAATTGAAAAGGGTAGGGAATTGAAAATACAAATAAAAACTAAAAAATTATCTTTAAAACTTATCATCATTTTATACATCACTGTGGTAGTACGGTTTCATTAAGATCACGACCACAAGCACTGCTTTCAAAGTTGTCTAAATTCGAGTTAATGTTGCAGCCGATGGCGTCTGGTCTACGGCGTTCTACTTGGGGGGCAAGTTCTTCATCACCCTGGCTTACAACTCACTTTACGTGTTCGCGGCCGAGGTGTTCCCAACGGACTACCGCACGACACTGCTGGCGGTGTGCTCGACCCTCGGCAAGATCGGATCTACAGTTGCGCCGCAAACGCCTTTGCTGGTGAGTCTTTAGATTTGCTCTAAACCCTCCGTTTTTCTACCAAACGCCCCGTTAATCGAACGACGTAACTATCCAAGTGTTTCACAGTAAATGCAAATTCTTTGGGCTGCAAAAAATAACTAAACCCGATGCAGTAAATTTAGTGGTCACTACTTAGTTTCATATAGCGATTGCACCTTCCAGAGCGATTATTTACTAACGCAAAGTTTGTGTTGAGCTTACAAATATGTAGACATATGACAACTCTTACTTTTCTTTAATTTCTGGGAATCTTTTAGTTGCGATTCTGGTATCACCTAATGTGTTAATGATCATTTTAACATAATTATGCATAGTGATGAAATGGGCTGATCCTGGATGACCTTAGGATGTTAATACATTTAACGTAAAAATTGGATTATTTTAAGATACCTATGTAATTACTGCCTAGATCAGCAGATTCAAGGTTGATAAAAGTAAGAAATGTTAAGAAACTATAAAAATGTTGAGACATAAAAAAATCAGTCAATTAGAACTAAAACTATATAAAACCGTTTAATCATTTTCAGGCCAAATATTACTTGTACTTGCCGACAATACTCTTTGGCTGTATGGCGGCCATATCCGGTTTCCTGGTGCTGACATTACCGGAAACTAATAACCAGAAGCTGCCGGACTCTTTGAAAGAAGCGCAAGAGCAAGACAGGAGAAAAGAGGGGAGGCGGAAACCAGAGGAGAGCACAGAGATAAAGACTAAGCTATAGTAAAAGGTTAACTCGTTGAACATAGAATTTTATTGTGTTTAGTGAAAGGTTCGATTTCAATCAGGCTGTGATTGTGCGTGATTTTTTTGGTACAATTTTAACTTTGAAATGTATTGTGAAGTTTGTGACGATACAGGTGACATATTGTAAAATCTCAAGTGGATATGATATACGAACGTTATTATTAGGACGTAATTGCAGACCTGCGTAGGTCTGCAATTACCTCACTATAACACCAGATTTCAAGGATCTGAGTACTGCATACATTAATTTTATCAAATTGTTATCTTTCAATAGTTATACTTATATGTTTATAATCAATCCATAACCTGTTTTTTAGACATCATCTGATTTTTATTAAAGTAGCTGTTTTTTATGTAATAACTGTTCGGAAACAAATAAAATCATAGTTGTCCACATTAAAAATATTGTAATCGATCAAAATTTTGCCAGACTTCCAATCAATTTGTAAATTTTCTGTACGTCTTTACTGATTTACATATGCTAGTAAATCTATTTAATACTTATAGGAATTATAATTGAGATATCTTTTTTATTATACAAATCTTTTACTACGTCTGTATGTCATCACCACCTGCGGTTTTCTTTATTTAAGGTTATAATCTGTTAATAAACTGTTTGTTATTTGTGTTTATGTTTAAGATAAATAGTAGAATTAAAATATAATAAAGCAGTTGTTGATCTATCATGTTTATTTTAAATTAATAGCGCAATAAGGCTTTCCTAATATTGTATGTCATATCTGTTATTCACACAAGGCATAAGCCGTATTTTCTTACTGGTATTTGATAGCATTCCATATTATTTACCGACCTTAATTGTTCGTTTGTCAACATTTTCAAACAGAATTTTTATTAAAATTTATCCTACCTTTTTTTTGTAACTGTCAAATCATTGATTTAATTTGTATTGACAATATTTTCAAGTCAAACATAATAGGAGTTCAAAAATAGAAAACAAGATAGTTAATAATATATAATATTATATATAGAACCATTTAATATTATAATTTAAAAAAAAAACATTGCCTTTGTTGTATAGACGTTTTACACATACAAATTTCACGTGGACAAACATACAGATCCGAAACGGTTATCTGTGTGTCACACAATTAGTTGTCCCGTGGCGGAAAGCAACCCACGACCCCTGACGCGAAGCCATCATATTATCATTAGTGGGGGATTATTTTGTCAACTCGTTGGGTTTAAGAATGAAAATAAACATCACCAGTGGGAAGCCCTCGGCAGGGGAGACCAAACGGTCGTTAGGGCGAAAGGGAGAGAAACTGGCGAACGATGCGGGCGATATTGACGAGCCCCAGTTTCTGCATATTAGCTCTGAGCCATCCGTCCCGGATGTTCAGAGGCTAACTGTGATTATCCCATTCGCAGAAACGACTATCGGTATAATTACCGCGGGCATACCACATTTCGGTGGAAAAACACATTACAAACTGACTGTTTGATGCCAGCCTCAACGTTACACATGTTTTGTGATATATCCAAATATCGGGCAAAGATAAATCTATGTCCTACGCGTTAGCAACCCCTTTCAACTGCTAAAATCATAAGTCACTTTAAGCAATTCCAGCAAATGGCAGTGGTTGGAGGCTAACAATTTGAGGTCATCCGCGTAGAAAATGAGGATCACTTTTGTCCCTTCTCTCTGAAGCTGAAATCCATCGAAACATGCTGAGAGGGTTTACGGATAGGCAAAACCCTGGATAATATCTCGTTATTATTATTATTACTTTTGTAGATTTCACAGTAAGGAGAAAAATAAAAAATAATAATATAAATTGAGTTTTAATTTGAATTTGACATACTTAAATAAAAGATTTTTCAACTTTAGCTATTGAAAACTATTATTATATATTATTATATAAACTATTATTCAATATTTCGCCGTATGCAAATACGTATTTTACATTGTTTTAAAGTAACAGCCTATACATGTCCCACTGTTGGGCAAATGCCTCCTCTATATAGAGGGTATCAGGGCATAGTCCACCACGCGGCCCTACTGCGGATTGTCGGACATCACAAATCTCCAATATATATTTTTTTGTTATTATTTCGAAAATATGCAGGTTTCCTCACGATGTTTTCCTTCAAAGCGGAGCACGTGATAAGTCAGCTCTTAAAGTTAAAAACTTTATTGGTGCCGGCACCATCGAGGGGATCGAATTCAGGTTGCTCGAGTATATTGAATTAAAGGCGAGCGCCCGGACACTGAGATATCACGGCTCTATAGCGTTTTAAAATACACAAAATATCTTTTATATAACTATTTTAAGATTAATAAATACGTACGATTAGCACAAACGACGAAATTACAGTAACTAATCATGCATTAAGCCGCAATAAAAATTATAATAACAGGCGTTTTATACAAATTTGTATAAAGCGCCTGTTATTTTACTAACCTATTGCTGGAAGCGTTACTCCCTGTATTTTTTTTTTCATTAAAGCATCAAGCGATGATACTTAATACAGGAGATCTGTTAATATTAATTATTTTTATTCCCAGAACCGAGTAGACGAAACGGCTAATAGCTAGTAAGTTTTCAAAACAATTAAACTTATTAAATTTACCAAAATAAACAGTTAATAAAATAACCCCATAACTTTTGTTCGCGCCAGTTTACTGCATTCGAAAAAAATATTGTATGAAAAAGAATAAACGCGATTTTATATTTACAAGCGGCCAGCGTCTTAAATGATTAGGAGAAAGCAGCCATTTAATATTTTAGGCGCTGCAAAGCGCTCCACGTTCGAAATTTATTTTTTAAACTGGATTAGAGCGAAAAAAGCGCTTGTAACGGTCGCGTTCACTTGTAATTATTCGCAACGAGACGTGATCCCATTCAGGCTTACGTGACCTGGCGGACATATTAAAAACATTATAATATTAAAAATTAATGCGAACGGGCGCATCGCAGAATGCGTTTCGTAGCATAATTTAAAAAGTTGTAACCTAAAATGTGCTATTTTTATTTTTATTCTTCATAGGATCACTTCTATAGTAAGTAATTCACGAGACCTCCAGACCATGTGAGATCTATTTAAATTTTCCAATCTAAAGGCCCATTTACACGATGCCATTTTCTTGTACATACAAGAGCAATAATTGAATGCAATAAATTGCGCGCAATAATTGTTTAGACTATTTGTTGTTTAGACCATGCGACTCATTTATTGCTTCAATTTAATTGTATACAACAGGCAAGAAACTGTCACCATGTAAATGGGCCTTAATGCTACATAATTTGCCAAAACTATGAAATGTTATGGAGCGATATTCAAACTGACAAAAATCCCTTATTAATATTTTATTTATAAAGGTTAAAAATTTAATTTTCATAAAACAAAGGTAATTTAAGAAGCATTTGCCTCGGCTAAATATTAATTATTAATAAACATTTCGAGCATATGTAAAGTCTGCCAAACCACAGTGGGGTCGCGTGGTGGACTATGCCTTAATACCGACTGTAAAGAGGAGGCCTTTACCCAACAGTGGCACATACATAGGCTGTTACTTTACTCTACCTTTTAAATAAGGAATTTGTATAATTTGGAATAGGTATTCCCATAGTCCTTTGTTAAATGTGATTTGTATGGAGTATTTGGTTAATCAACCATATTTTCTATACAATATGTATAGAGAATAAAAATAATAGAGTAAGAAAAAAACAATAAAATATAATAACAAAATAATAGAGAGCATTTCATGTAATCTTCAAGATCCATGTAATATAGTTTACCCAAATACAAAATTAGTCGGGTCGGAAGTTCTGTCACATCCTTATTAAATATAAAATTTTGAACAGAAACGATTGTTGAATGTTGAACAGAATTTGATGTGCTATCTGATAAAAAAAATGGTTTTCTTCCAGAAAGAGAGAGAAAGAAAGAAACGTTGGTATTATGCTACACCATTGCGGTTATTCGCCAACTGAGATATTTAAAATTACGTGAAATTTGGAAATAACTCTAAGGTTTGGTATACCAACTATATATAGTACTATAAACGGCTTAGTGAAGATTCGACTTTTGAAGAGCGCACAAGGTGTGGCTGACATGGTAGTGTTAGGACACTAACGGGCTGTGTGGGCGGGAATCCAAATGTGAGTGAAGGGTAGGTCAAAAAATATTAGCACTTCAGTTGAGGTTAAGCAAAAACTACGGTCAACAAAAACGGACATTACATTAATGAGCGTTAAAATAATTAAGTCTTATGCTACAGTATATTTTTTATCTAATTGTCCTTATTCACATGTACGTACTCCCGAATACTTTAAATCTCCCTTAAAAAAGGTCTGTCTGGATGAATGAATGCTATTGATGCTATTTTAGCTATAACGCCGCCCTTTGAACAACCATTTTTGTTACCTTTATGTTGTTAATGCGTTCTTTGTTATGGTATGTACAATAAAGTGTATAAATACATAAATAGGGCTTGAAAGATCACGAGCTTTGTTAAGACGGAACGCGTGTATAAAATACTGCGAAATATCAACAACAACAGGAAACTAAATGGTAAAGTGAATGCCAGCAACAGTAAAGTGACGAATGCAACGTGTATTCTTCATCATTTATAGGTCGACTTGGATACTTGTACTAAGGTATTCTTCTTTGAAAACTTGTACTGTGTGTATCAAAATATAGTTGTCGAACCTCTTTCTGAAAAAATTTCCATGACACAATAAATATTCAAACAAGAATCCGTGCCAGCTCATCGAAGTGCGATACGCGGAACTGGCATATTAGCTATGGAATCGTCTTCAACAGATACGACAAGTTTGGTGGCATTTTACCTAATGTTAAGTGATTTGTTGGCGGAAAATGCTGCGGATACCATGGACTGCCATGAGGACAAACAATTCCATCCTTAAAGAACTTGTAACGCCCTATTAATAATAATAAATATTATTATTAATTAGTCATAATAAAGATGAAAATAAAACGTTTAAGAAC